GCAGCAAAAGAATGGCGGTTATATCCTCCTTTTTGTTTAATATATTTATCTATATATTATTATAAGAATAATAATATAAATAAAATAAATAATAATATAAATAATAATATAAATAATAATATAAATAAATATATTAATCTTTTTTCTTACCTACAACCTGAATTAGATTGGGGGGCCCTCCTTGTACATAATAAATGGGTACTAAAATTTAATTCATGGACAAGAAATCGTACCCTACCTCATGCTACCTTACTAGGAGCAACAGGGGGGCCCCCAGCAGGAGGGGGGGCCCTGCAGCTGCTGCAGCAGCAGCAGCAGCTGCAGCAGCAGCAGCAGTATGCAGCTGCACTGTATGGGGGGCCATATATGCAGTTGCATGGCCAGCAGCAGCAGCAGCAGCAACAACAGCAGCAACAACAGGAAGGAGAAGAGGGTACTAGTGGGTATATTCATGGGGGCCCTTGTACTAATCATAAGGAAGGGGGCCCCCTTCTTCCTTGTTTACTGCATCACCCTAGTGAGGGGGCCCCTCCTCCAGGTAAATTAACAGTAGCGTTGCAGCCATGGATAAAAGAAGGGTGGAGGCCCCCCTCCTCTGCTGTACCCATCGGGGGGGCCCCCGTCCTCTCCTTACCCTCTTTATTACAAGGACCAAAGGGAGGAAGGGGGCCCCCACAGCTTCCTCTTTCAGGGGGTACTGCTGCTGCAGAAGGGGCCCTGGGGGCCCCTGGGGGTCTAGGGGCCCCAAACAGTTCCCTGGGGGCCCTAGATAGCTCGATGGAGGGGGGGGCCCCTGAAATGTACCCTGCAGCAACTGTTATGTGCCTTGGAGGGGAATTAAGGGATGTAGGGGGCCCCCTAAAAAGGGTACGATTAGAGGTACCCTATAGGAGATTATTAAGTTATATTGAGGAAGAAACGGAGGCCCTGGGGCCCTCATTAGTATGGGACTTTGAGGCCCTGCATGCAGATAAGGGTACAGATAGGGGGGCCCCCTGTACCCTAGGTGATATACAAGCTGATGATGATACCCTAAGGGGTCTCGTTAAGTCCGTCCTTGCTCATTGCCCACAGAAGCAGCAGCAGCAGCAGCAGCAGCAACCGCAGCAGCAGCAGCAGCAACCGCAACAGCAGCTACAGCAGCAGCAGCGGCAACCGCGGCAGCAGCAGCGACAGGGTACTCTGAGGGTTCACAAGAGACTTGAGGACACAGCAGCAACACCTAGTGGGGGCCCTGCTGCTGCAGCAGCAACAGCAGCAGCACCAGCAGTACCCTCAAGAAGAGTTAAGTCAGAATGCGATGTTGGGGGCCCCCAGGGCCCCCCAACAAGCAGCAGGGGCCCCTGTAACCGCAGCAACAGCAGCAGGCACGATGATAAAACAGCACCAGCAGATAAGGGGGGCCCCCGCAGTGCTGGTGCTGCTGCTTCTGTTGCTGCTGCTGCTGCTGGTCGTCACTCCCCTGGGGGGCCCCCTCGTCGATCCCCAAGCTGTCGCGGTGTATGTAGAGGCAACAAGAGGAAAAGAGAAACAAAAGGGATGGAGGGGCCCCCTCATGATACAAAGATAGGAGGGGGCCCCCAGGGTACTTGTGGGGGCCCCTCCCTAAGAAGGAATGCGTCAGGGGGGGGCCCCAGCAGCCAAGGTACTACAGACCGTACCACCAAAACAGGGGCCCACCTAAAGGGGGCCCCTTCTGCTGCTGCTGCAGCAGCAGAGAAGGGGGTACGTGCTGCAGATGGGGAGAGGCCCCTACATCATCGTCCCCATAGGAATGGCTTGGGGGCCCCCATTAAGAATGAGGTAGTTGGGGGCCCCTCTAAGTCAGGGGGCCCTCATAAGGAGGGGGGCCCCAAGGAGGGGGGCCCCTATTTCCCTCTAATAGGTGATGAGGTGTACCCTTCCTTAATATTCTCTGCTTCTCCTTCCCCTACTCCCGATCATACACGCAGCAGGGGCCCCTCTCTTGATAAAGAGGGGGGCCCCCATCGTTAACAATAAGGGGGGGCCCCCTCCCCTCCTCCCCTCCCCTCCGTACACTTTCCCCCCGTCAAGGAGGACGGGGCCCCTTACCTTACCTTGATAAAAAGGAATAGACGGGGCCCCTCCTTTTAGACTCATCCAGGGGGAATTAGGGGGGCCCCCTGAGGGGGCCCCTCCTAGTTCAAGGCATGGGGGGCCCCCCTTCCCTCTTCTTAATGGATAATAGGGGGGCCCCCTAGCTGTAGACAGCCCCACACCGACCCCATACAAATAAATGCATGCAAGGCCCCTCAGTACCCTCTCTGGGGGGCCCCCTACGGGCCCCCCCCCTGGATGCCTCTAGGGGGCCCCCCAGGTGGGGTCCCCTTAGGGGGGGCCTCTCTAGGGATTAATTGTTTGAATAGATGTAATAATAAAGAAAGGAAAGGGGAATAAAAGAGGGAAAGATTTATTTATTTATTTATTTTATTTACCTTATCTATTTAACAATTTATTTATTTATTTATTTTATACTTATTTGTCTCTCTTATTTGTCTCTTATTTGTCACTTCTTTTTGTCTCCTTATCTATTTCTTCCTATTATTTATTTATTTTATTTATTTTATTTATTTATTTATTTATTTATTTATTTATTTATTTATATTTATTTTATTAGTTCTCCCTGTCCTCCTACCAGTCTATAAGAAAAAAAACTAGGGTTTAGGGTTTAGGGTTTAGGGTTTAGGGTTTAGGAAGCAAGTTAGTAGCCCCATAAGCCAATCAAGGAAGGGGGGCCCCCCTGCAGATACACCTCGTATAGCTCTTGTTTGTGGGGCCCAGGGGCCCCTAGCAACAAGGGGAGCGCATAGAGGAGGGGGGCCCTCAAGCTCCTCTACCTGCTGCCGTAGCAACAACTCCTGCTGCTGCTGCTGCTGCTGCTGCTGCTGCTGCTGCTGCCAATGGGGCCCCGTACCCCTATGGGGTCCTACAGGACTTTGGGGGCCCCAAGAGGAAGCAGCAGTTTGCTGCTCCCCTGAAGTTATAACAGCAGCAAACACAGACAGCAGCAGCAGAAGCATCCGCAGCAGCAGCAACAGCAGCAGCATAATCAGCAGCAACAGCAGCAACAGCAGCAGCAGCTGCAGCACAAGCAGCAAGAAAAGGAACTTACCTCCACAACAGCAGAATCCCCTCATATCTCCTGACGAGGTCCTCTGCAGCTGTTGCTGCTGCTGCTGCTGTTGCTGCTTCTTCTTCTTCTGTTGCTGCTGCTGTTGCTGCTGCTGCTGCTGCTGCTGCATTAATTGTGTTGTTATAGGTGGGGTTGTTAATGGATCTGTTAAGGGAATTGCTGCATGCGTTTTCTTCTCTATAGGCACCTCGGCTATTAATACTTTATCCTTAAAGGTAACAGATCTATGAGGATGAGTGCTGCTGCTGCTGCTGCTGCTGCTGTTGCTGCTGCTGCTGCTGCTGCTGTTGCTGCTGCTGTTGTGCTTCAATGAGGGACGGTGCTGACGATGGCCAGATGACGCAGGGGGAGGCGAAGCAACAGGCTGCAGCAAACACGCATGCACATACAGCAGCAGCAGCAGCAGCTAATGCAGCAGCAGCTAATGCAGCAGCAGCTAATGCAGCAGCAGCAAATGCAGCAGCAACAAGGGTTTATAGAGACAGTGTGTTATCTGGTCTCTACCTCATTCATGCCTGCAGCTGCATGTGTTGCTGTTGCTGCATCTGTTGATGCAGCAGCAGCTGCTGCTGCTGCATCTGTTGCTGCTTCTGCTTCTGCTTCTGCATCTGTTGTTGCAGCTTCTGCTGCATCTGCTGCATCTGCTGCTGCTGCTGCAGCAGGTAGACCGCTGCTAGTATCAGGGGCCCCCCGTCTGTCTTCTTTCATTGTTGCTGCTGCCTTTGAAGAGGGGCCCCCTAATAAAGAATCTTCAGCAGCAGCAGCAGCAGCTTCACGATTTGCTGCTGCTGCATTTGCTGCTGCTGCTGCAGCAGGAAGTCGCGGTGAGTCCATAGCAGCACGAGACGGAGAAAGAAGAGCCTTATTATTAAGGGCAGCAGCAAACCCTTAAATGGCTCTTTCTTTGCTGCTGCTGCACATAAATAAACAAATAAAAAGAAAAAAAGAAGAAATAAATAAAAGAAGAAAAAGAAGAACTTTTCTCTCTTCCCTCCTCTCTTTGCCTCTCTGTGTACTCGTTGTTGATGGCTAGAATGATTCAATTGACCACGATCTGCCGTTCTTTCATGATAAATATACCATTAAAAGTATTAATTGAGGTGTACATACAGGTTAATAGAAGAAAAGAAGAAGAAAGCTTGCAAAAAGAAGAAAAAAGGAAGAAAGAACGCGAAGGGGAGGAGGTAGAAAGTCAACGCTTTCTTGTACGCGATCTGCGTCTATAAGGGTTGTGTGCAGCTTAAATAAGAGCAAATTAATAAAAATAAAGTAATTTAGCCATAAAAATACAAAAAAAAGATAAAAAAATGAACAATTTAATGCAGAAACATACAGTGACGCGTCGATTCAACTTCCTTCTCTGGGGTGTATAGGCAGGTGTGCATACAACTGAATCTTGCAAGAAGAAAATAAAATAAATAAATATATTCATCATTAAATATTATATTTATTTATTTATTTTATTCAATTATACTCAATAAAACTATATTATTTAATAAATAAAAACGTCTTCCTCTCTTTTCCTCCCTCTTAGCACACCAACACACACCACGCCTTGAAACCCTAAACCCTAAACCCTAAACCCTAAACCCTAAAAAAGGTGTGTTATTGTTATATTGTTTATTTCTGTTATATTTTCTTCTCTTAATAGATAAAAAGGAATTAAAGAAAAAATTATTTCTTTTCTTTCTTGCTGCTATACAAGAAAAGAGGCATTAATTTTTTTATATATTTCTTCCTTTTATAAGAAAGAAAAAAATCATTTATTTTTTTATTCTATTATAATTAAAATGTAAATCTCCAGCAGCAGCAACAGCAGCAGCAGCAACAGCAGCAGCAGCAACAGCAGCAGCAACAACAGCAGCAGCAACAACAGCAGCTCTACCAGCAGCAGCAGCAGCAGCACTACTAGCAGCAACAGCAGCAGCAGCTGCAGGGGACAAATAAATAAATAAATAAAAAGCACACTAAACCCTAAACCCTAAACCCTAAACCCTAAACCCTAATATATAAAGGGACACATTAAAAGGAGACAATTGTCTCCTATCTAGTAAACCCTAAACCCTAAACCCTAAACCCTTTCTTATTTTTTCTTCCTTTTATTTACTACACAAAAATACTCATCTTGCTGCTAGTTGCTGCTAGCTGCTGCTAGCTGCTGCAGTTGCTGCTGCAGTTGCTGCTAGCTGCTGCTGCAGCAGATATAGAATGTTCATTGTTCAAGTCAGTGGAGTGTACATACACCCCAAGACGGCATGAAAAAGATCAACAGTAGCAGCAGCAGCAGCTGCTGCTGCTGCTGCAGCTGCTGCTGCTGCTGATGTGTGTGTCGTTGTACTGCATGCGCGGGTGTATTTTAACTAAGAAGAAAAAATAACGGAAGGAAAGCCCCTGGCTTTGCTGCTGCTGCTGCTGCTGCTGCTGCTGCTATGGATGGTGCAGGAGCAGCAGCAGCAGCAGCAGAAGCAGCAGCATCAACACATACTGCTGCTGCTGCTGTTGCTACATTGATTTCTACTACTGCAGTACTGCTGCTGTGGCGGCGTACTGCCGCTGCTGCTGCTGCTGCTACTACTACTACTACTACTAACGCTGCTGCTATTGCTGCTGCTGCTGCTGTTGCTGCTACTACTACTAACGCTGCTGCTATTGCTGCTGCTGTTGCTACTAGTGCTGCTGCTACTACTGCTGCAGCTACATCTACTACTGCTGCTGCTAATACTGCTGCTGCTATTACTACTTCTACTACTGCAGCTTCTGCTGCTGCTGCTGCTGCTGCTGCAGCTAGTACTGCTGCTGCTGCAGCGGCACCTGCTGGTCGTAAGAAATCCATTGACCAGCTGCGTCATAATACCCATTAGGTTGGTACCCTTCCTGCTGCTGCTGCTGCTGCTGCTGCTGCCAGTTGCCTTGTTCGTCCCAGTAGCCATCCATGGGGTACTGTTGCTGCTGCTGCTGCTGCAGCTGCTGCTGCTGCTCTGGTGTTAGCTGCTGACCCTGTTGGTCATAATAACCTCCATATCCATCCCCCCATTGCTGCTGCTGCTCTGGCTGCTGCTGCTGCTGCTGCTGCTGCTGGTAATAATAGTAATCATCTTGCTGCTGCCCCCAGCTGCCTTGCTGCTGCTGCTGCTGCTGCTGCTCATCATAACCTCCAGTGTATATCCAGTTCCCTTGCTCATCATAGTAGCCATCTGCTGCTGTTGCTGCTGCTGCTGTTGGTATCCAGTTGCCCTGTTCGTCCCAGTATCCTGCTGCTGCATCTGCTGCATCTGCTGCTCCTGCTGCTCCTGCTGCTGCTGCTGCTGCTGGATCTGCTGCAGATGCAGGACTTGTTCCTCCTGCTGCAGCATAAGAAGAATCTTCTTGTGTATCTATAGGTACCCAATTACCTTCCTCATCCCAGTAACCTGCTTCTGCTGCTGCTGCTGCTCCTTCTCCTGCTGCTCCTGCTGCATGCATGTCTTCTGGTGCTGCTGCTGCTGCTGCAGCAGGACTTGCTGCTCCATGAGGTGACTGCTGCCCTGCAGACCTGCATATACACCCCAACAGCAGCAGCAAAAAAAAAACAACAATTAATATCCTTCCCTTCTTCTCCTCCTCATCCGTAAACCCTCAAAAAATCCTAAACCCTAAACCCTAAACCCTAAACCCTAAACCCTAAACCCTAAACCCTACAGGATATTTTCTTTATTTCTTAAGGAAGGAGAAATTTGTCCGCAGCAAGAGAAGAGACCAAAGGGTACATCATTAGTGCCGCAGCAAATCTTCTGCTTCCTTCTTGCTGCTGCTGCTGCAGCTGCTGCAGCTGCTGCAGCACGCTCTTTTTGACGTGCTGCATCTATCTGTCCTGTAGCTGCAGCAATTGCATCAGCAGCAGCAGCAGCAGCAGCAGAATCTGCAACTAACCAAGGTATACCTTTCTTCCTCATATAAGAAGAATGATTAATTAATTTATTTTTTATTTTTTTATCTTTTATTCTTTCCTCTAATAAATTACAAGAAATACTTCTTGTCTTTAGCAGCAAACATGAAGACGGCGAGGGGGGCCCCCCAAGGGGGGCCCCCATGGGGGGCCCCCCCAATTTTGAGGGGCCCCTTGACAGGATCGGGGATCCAACAGTACGCGGAGACGACTTCCGTGATGATACAGAGGCAGAGGATATCTGCTTTATTATACCTGCAGCAGCAACAGCAGCAGCAGCAGCAACAGCAGCAGCAGCAGCAACAGCAGCAGCAGCAAAAGAAGCACACATATGAGGTGAGCATACACTTCAGTAGTATCCTTGTTGCATCATCTATACTCACGAAGTGGTTACTGCAGCAGCAGCAGCAGCAGCACCTGC